AGATACAGGATAGTTCTAGAAACAAGAGGGCGTGAGAATTGTCACGTGATCTCGATGACGCAACACTATGTTTGTTTGTTTAGAATTTCGCGCAAAGCTACACGAGGGCTATCTGCGCTAGCCGTCCCTAATTTAGCAGTGTAAGACTAGAGGGAAGGCAGCCAGTCATCACCACCCACCGCCAACTCTTGGGGTACTCTTTTACCAACGAATAGTGGGATTGACCGTCATATTATAACGCCCCCACGGCTGAAAGAGCAAGCATGTTGGGTGTGACGTGGATTCGAACCCGTGACCCGCAGATTGCGAGTCGAGCGCCCTAACCACCTGGCCTTTTATTAATGCTCCAGCAGAATAATTTCATTAACAAACTAGAATAAACTTATTCGCCACTTGAAGATCATGTAAGGTTCTTTAACATTTAAATTGATAAAAAAATGGATTAGTGCCATCAAATCAATGACAATCTTGGAGAAACTTTCAACTTTTGGTTGTTGTTATTTGTTGCATTTCGTGCAAAGCCACTCAAGGGGTAAGTGGCGTAGCAAGGGTTCTCTTGCTGAATTTGTCTTTACAGCTCTTCATCAATGCCACTTTGAAGACAAATTCGGCGATAAGTTTCTTTCCAAGCAGCAAATGACTCATGATGACTGTCACTATTTTCATGGGCATTTAACTTTTCAATTTTTTTCCACTTAGAGAATCCACCCTGTGTTTTGAAAGCAGACCGACCATCAGATGTCATATATGTAGATGAAAAGAGAAGACAACAAAAGCAGTATACACCAACCAGAAACGATTGACCTCTTGTCCATTCAGAAGGCGTCGTTTGAACCAAAATGCAGTCATGTAACGCCCATCTTTGGCATGAAATGGACCTTCTTTATATTGAAATTCATGTGCTCCAACTTTAACAATCTCTGTGTGATGTGCATGTGTTACAACTGCTGAGCTTGTTGTATCACACTTTATAAATCTAATATCCCTGTGTGTTAAAATATTTATTTAGATCATCCTCTTTTAACTTAGCAACACTATTCTGTGGATTTGTTTCTGACAA